TGTCGAAAAGCTGAACGCAGGTGGCGAAAAACAAATCTCCAGGTTCATTTTGAAATCTATAAAGAGAGACTTGGCTTTTATAATTTGGAATTGAAAATTGCACGACAGTCTTTCTTCTCTGACATAATTGCCAAAAACAACGCACATGCCTTGTTTGCTACCGTTGACAGACTAACACTGACAAGTGTCAGCAGCCTCTGAATTTCTATCCACCAGGGCCTGCAATGAATTTTCCTCCTTCTTCACTGACAAAATTCTGAAAATTAGACAAGCAGTCAGTGCCTCTGTATCAGGTACAGCAAATGTTTTGTCCCTGTGTCCACCGAATATCAATTCAAACACCATGACACAATTCTATCAGATTAATGATAAAAACCTAGAGGACATTATTCAACTTCTGAAATCCTCCTCCTGCTGCCTTGATATTATTCCAACAGGATTTTTCAAACATGTTTTTCATTGCATGGCCTCAGATCTACTTCATATAGTAAACACATCTCTTCACTCAGGTGTTTTTCCACAGGCCCTAAAAACGGCAGTCATTAAACCGCTCTTAAAAAAGAATAATCTAGATGCTTCAGTAATGAACAATTACAGGCCCATATCAAACCTGCCATTTCTAGGTAAAATCATTGAAAAAGTAGTTTTTTTATTACTTGCATTTAAATAACTGTTTGGATGTGTTCCAGTCAGGCTTTCGTCCAAACCACAGCACTGAGACTGCTCTTGCAAAGGTCTTCAATGACATCCACTTAAACACAGACAGTGGCAGAACCTCAGTGTTAGTATTATTAGATCTCAGTGCTGCGTTTGACACTGTTGACCACAACATATTACTAGACCGACTGGAAAACTGGGTGGGACTTTCGGCAACAGTTCTAAATTGGTTTGAATCCTACTTAAAGGACAGAAAAAACTTTGTTTCTATAGGTAAATACACATCTGAGTTGACAAATATGACATGTGGGGTACCTCAAGGCTCCATCTTGGGGCCTCTTCTCTTTAACATCTACATGCTACCACTGGCTCAGATAATGAAAAACTACAAAATAAGTTACCATAGCAATGCGGATGACACCCAAATTAACATAACCATTTCACCAGGAGACTATGCTCCAATTCAAACACTGAGTAAGTGTATTGAACGAATAAATGACTGGATGTGTCAGAACTTTCTCCAATTAAACAAAGATAAAACTGAGGTAATAGTTGTTGGAGCCAAGGCAGAATGTATAAAAGTTAACGCTGAGCTTCAGTCTGCAATGTTCAAAACAACAGATAAAGCCAGAAATCTAGGTGTAGTCATGGACTCTGACCTGAGTTTCAACAGTCACATTGAAACAGTTACTAAATCAGCCTACTATCACCTAAAGAACATATCTAGGATTAAAAGACTAATGTCACAGCAGGATTTGGAAAAACTTGTCCATGCTGTTATCTTCAGTAGACTCGACTACAGTAATGGTGTCTTCACAGGTCTCACGAACATATCCATTAGAAAGCTGCAGCTGATTCAGAACACCGCTGCTCGAGTCCTTACCAACACTAAGAAAGTGGATCACATCACTCCTGTTCTGAAGTCTTTACACTGGCTTCCTGTGTGTCAAAGAATTGATTTCAAAATACTGCTGCTGGTTTATAAAGCATTGAATGGTTTAGGCCCAAAATACATTTCTGACCTCCTGCTAAATTATGAACCATCCAGAACTCTCAGGTCTTCTGGGACTGGTCAGCTTTCTGTCCCCAGAGTCAGAACTAAATATGGTAAAGCAGCGTTCAGTTATTATGCTCCAAATATCTGGAACAAACTCCCAGAAACCTGCAGGTCCGCTGCAACTCTTACTACTTTTAAATCTAGGCTGAAGACTTTTCTTTTTGCCGCTGCTTTTAATTGAGATATGCATATCTTAAACTGCACTGTAACTTTTATTATCTTTGCTTTTTATCTTTACTTTTAAATTAGTGTTTTTAAATGTCATTTTATATCATTGCTTTTAAAGGTAGGGTAGGTAAGTTTGAGAAACCGGCTCGAGATCGCTAGAATTTGAAAATACACAACCGGAGAAAATCTGCCACTTCCTTATAGAGCCCCTCCTCCAACACACACGAACGCGCACATGACCAATGAGGGCACGAGATAAGTTTGTGCACAGATGGAAGGCTGACAGGCAGGTAGGCCAACCAGTTATTTTAGCCGGGCCGGCTAAAATGATTGGTCGTGCTGTTTACAGTACTACGGCTTCCACAGATGACATTTTTTTATGGATTTTTTGTCAAAGCACTTAATATATTCATTGCTATCGGGACGTTAAGAGCATTCCATGGAATATAACAAAAAGTGTATCTCGAGCCGGTTTCTCAAACTTACCTACCCCACCTTTAAATGAGTGTTTCTAGATATCATTTTATAATATGTTTCTTAATGCTCTTAATGTCTTTCATTTTTGTAAAGCACTTTGAATTGCCTTGTGTTGAAAGGTGCTATATAAATAAACTTGCCTTGCCTTGATGAACATTTAAATGACTCAATTAGAGTGAACCTGAGTGGGTACACTCCAGCATACACCTCTATGGTGGACTCCATGCAGTGCCAGTCATCTCACTGACTGTAAAAAAGAGTGTATGCACTTATTTTACACATGTGCCATAAGATGCTTGTAAGGTGGTGATTAAGGTGATGTATTTACTATGTGGGCCATAATAAGAAGTGAACAAATTGTCTTTTTCTCTTGGACATTTATGTGAATTTTCAGTGATGTATTTACTATGTTGGCCATAATAATATGTGAGAAATTGTTGTTTTCTTGGACCTTGATGTGAAGTTAAAATTGTTGATAAGCTTTGGGTATTGCAATTTCACACGTGTACAAAAGTAGCTTAATTCAACTGATGAGTGCTATGTGAATAAATGTAAGCGATGTGATGCAAGTAGCTCTTGGCCAAAACATTTCAAAGTAGCTCTCAGATGAAGAAAGGTTGGAGACCCCTGCTTTAGATGAAAATAAGGTACCACTCCCCATGCCCATCTGAGAGATATTTGGTTAAAAATACCACAATGGTGCTCTAGGAGGAGATTCAGGTGATAAGGTGGGGGGGTTACCTTGGTTGGTTATTGGATAATGGTTACACAAGTGGCCAAAATCTGATCAGCTCATATTCAGACAGGTTTTTATATAAATGGATCATGACAAAAAGTGAGCAAATCCCTTTTTCTTACATTTCCAGAATCTCTTTACACAGAGGGGACACATGTTTATGTATAAAATACATGAAAAAGTGTATTTTGCATAATAGGTGACCTTTAAATATTTGTATTAGTGTAGCATGAATGAATATCACAGTTTTTCTTGGATTTGCTTTTACGTGTTTACATCAGTCGATATGACTTTTAACGTTATATAAGAAAACAACTACATAATCTCAAACACACACACACTTTTGCTTCCATAATGTAATTTTCCAGACCGCTTTGGATAGCAGATAGTGGTGTGTGCCTTACTTTAGTGGCACTGTAGGTCTATCTGCTTCAAAAGAAAAAAAAACATGGTACTAATCTACCAGGTCATCCCTAAATAAAGAGGCTGCAGGTAGAGCGTGACACTGTATAACATATCCCTGTGCACTCTAGCCTCAGCTGCATCACAGCGACTGTTGATATCCATTTTATGCCTTGTCAAGCTGGAGGCACGTAACCACATGTTTTTTTTTGGGCCAAAACCCAATTAAAAATGAGTTCGGTCGCATGTTCCTTTATTATTTTGTGTACACTACCACTTCAAATGTACGTCTACTTTGTAAAGTGAGGGTCATGAACTCACAGGTAACTTTTATATATATTAAAACGCTTTAATGACCTGTCATCTCAAAGGTTTAGAGACTCTGGCAGCTGCTAGTGACGTCAACATTTAAAAGCATTTGCAAACCAACACCTGATATGATAGTTACTAAGAAGGTGGGACTGATACAAGTAATGAGTGGATCGGTTATTTGTGTACCAGCTACCAGAGATACGGATCACATAAAACAGATTCAAATAAAGTGATTTTGAGTTGGTTTTAGTTTATTTCAGTTTAATGAGTGAGATCAAAATACAAAATATTGCAAAAATATATTAAAATACTTATTTTTATTTCTGCAATGAGTACTTTTACTCTTAATTATTTGAGTACATTTTCCTCATCAGACTCAAACAGTTTTACTTAAGTACAATACTCAATGCAGTACTTTTACTTGCAGTTGAATGGAATTAGTACTTTGACTCAAGTAAATGATCTGAATACCTTTTCCACCACTGCCAAAAACAAAGCATACATAGTTTGCTTCCAATTGGAGAAAAAAATGCAACCAGTGTTCATAGGGGCAGTGCAAGTGACTTAATTCCAGTTTAATGGGCCTTTAATGGTATTGATTGGGACAGTTAGTTGCCCTCACTGTTTCTGTTTGGCTGCTGTTAAAGGAATATAAAGGTGGTGGTGGGGGGATGTCAATATCTAGCAGACAGTTGAAATTGCCACCAGCCTTACCATTGTGATTCGCAAGTATTTAAAATATGTTTAAGCACCAAATCAACGATGCTGCGGCTGGTTGGTCATACCATTTGCACTTGATACTGAGAAATTGGCTTTCTGATTGTGCAATGCTTTTTCAGACGAGAGCCCGGACCTTTTTATTTGAGTCAGTGGGGCATGTCAACTGCATTTAAAATGTAATCAGACTGAATCTGATCTTGAACTTTCATCAAAATGGTTTGTTAAAATTGAAAAAAGACTTTAGCAAAAATAATGTATACCTTTTAAAATCAGTCTGTATCCCTTAAAATGAAATCGAAGGGCAGTATAAGTGTGACTCATGTCAGAATAAACCACAGAACACATTTTACAGGTTGATGTTGTGTGTGTGTGTATTTCATGGGTAACCTTCTGTAGCTGTGTTTAAATTGGTAACAGTGTACAGGGCAAAATGGCTTATTTGAATGTTACTGTGTCATCCAGGCTCCTTACCCTGCATCCCCGTGGGGCCGAAGCCTTGGCGAGTGAGGAAAATTGCGTGGTCGTGGTGCTCAGCATGATCAAGGTCACTTTTCTGCTGCACAAAGGCCCAGCGGCACACATTCTCCAGGCTCCGCGATGGGTTTCCTCTTTCAATGAGGCTGATGGACTGACAGGAAAGAGCGAGAAAGAGATTGAAATGCTTACCGATGAACCTTGTAACCGTGTAAATGAACATGTTAGTATTCTGGCAGCAGCACAAAACTGTATAGATTGGTAATCCGATCGGGAAAGCATAGCATTCAGTGTAAACATATTTTAGATGTGGGCTCTGGGGTGATAATGAAAGTGGAAAGCAAAAGGTAATTTGCTCTCATCCGCCATATGGTAAAAAGGCCAGTTGATCATAAATAATGTATTTTTAGAGTATGTGTAAAAGAAAGCCCGCAGTATTCTTCACTATTTATAATCTATGCTACAATAATAATGGCTTTGGATGTGTCACTAGAAATAATCACCTCTCTGAGGCAATTATACAAAATAGATAACAGAGCGAGAACAAAAAGCATCCATGCTCACAAAACTATGAAACATTTGTTTGTAATTTGTATCACTGTGATGTTGCACAGGACAGCAGATTATTAATAGCAGACCAGAGACTTTAGAGCACTAAATAATTGAGAATAGATAACAAAAAATAGACAATTCATGGCTTTTGCCAAAGTTTTGTTTTTGTTTTTGTTCTCCTGGGATGAAACGTTAGCCTTTAATCCCACTGAGGCACTGTGTGCTTTTCTTTTGCTTACTGTTTGCTCTAACAGCCAGAGATGATGGGTTGATGCTTCACCTCTGGCTCAAAGCTTTTGTTTCCTCGCAGAAAACACAACACATTGTTGTGGACAGAGAGTGGAGAGGTAGGATGGGGCATTTTGCTGACCTGTAGCAACAACTTCTACAAATGAATCATAAATAATGTATATGTTAAGGGCTTCTGGAACTTGTTGGCCGACGTTTAGGGTGATTTGTGCAAACAAAGAATCCATATCTATATGTTTATTCTCAAGTTAATCGACAACAAAGGGATCATTTTTGCTAATTGACTATGCCTCTGTATTTATTAGTTCTGTAGCAGACAAGAGACATGTGTGTATCTGTCCTTTACCATGCTGTAAACCAAGAGTCCAATGGAGGCGTTTGCATGGGGGAGAGCGTGTGGGAGAGAAACTCCCTCTTGAGGGAACTTTGGGATTTTAGCATTTACACACCCTTTATATGCACAAAAACATATATATCACACTGCAGGGAAGGTAAAAACCAAACAAGCATAATTTCTCTTTAAGAAAACACCTGGGTGTATTGAAGTCATTGTGTTTTATGCAGTACTGCACTTAAACTACAATACTTTTGAGGCCTATTAATCTAAGAAAGGATAGATGGAACTACTACACTCAAACTAATTTGAAGTGTGGTGGCTCTGTGCTGCATAGTGAGAGCAGAATACCTTTGGCTATACAAATAAAAAATATTGTGATGACAGTTTCTTTTTTAAAACAATCACTGGGTGGAATGAAAAAAAAAACTCAGTAGTTGCAGCCCTGTTATGAAGACTGAGACTACAGCTTCTGTGTGATGTGATCAAACTCAATGCAGTGAGGAGGAACATGTTTTGTCTCTGAGCTACAGTAAAACTTCTCTCGCATACAAATCATATTGCCCTCACCATGCTTTACATTCTTGGTGCAAATCAACATAAACGGAGTGTGAGCCTCACCTTGGCGTACCCCAGCATGATCATCCTCACCAGCACCACGTTGATGTGGACTCCCAGCGACTCGTCGTGGTAAATCTCATTCACCTGAGAAGTAGGGGGGGAAAACATAATCATCGAGAAGCTAATATCTCACACAAATAGCATCACCTTAACGGCATTTGCGTCATTGGCCCTGAACACCTCATATAAGCCCAATATGGGCTTCTACTTTCCACTCAGCGGGGGAGAGAAACACACCATTCTTCATGAATCACACCATGAATGAATGTATCACAAACTTAAAGTGGACCTATCATGCTATATTTGAATAATATATTGTAGGGCCATACCTATATAAGGTATATTTATACGTTTTCTTTTTCAAAATACCAAACAGATCATGCATTTTAGCCATGCCTCATTTCGCTCTATTTTGCTCTCCTCCACCCTGTCTATGCATGCGCTGCAGCTGACCACGCCCCCCTGCAAAGGAGGGGGCCGAGTTACGAGCGTCGTGTTACCATGCTGTTACCATGCCACGGCAACCTCTCATTCCCCTGATAGGTCAGCTCCTCCGTCCTGACGTCAGAGAAATGTTCAAATCTGGATCAGTCTGTATCAGATCCATTGCAGCCCCGTTTTTAGAGATTTGGGTATGGAGGAAAATAGAGAGGGTTGTGTTTTCTGACACTTGGTGAGTTCCCTGGAACACCGGGGACACATATTCATGTATAAAAGACGTACAAAAGTGCATTTTGCATGATAGGTCCCCTTTAAGCAATCACTATTGTACAGCCTTTTTTAAAGAGCTGGCGAATGCAGCGAGGAGGAAGGTCCTGTCCTTTTGTGCTTGCTCCTCACAACATATGATTGCCATACCAGTAAAAGGAGAAAAGACTCAAATTAATACCAAAAAAAATTGCCATTTATACAGTTTATAATTTACTCGCAGAGTTTTACCTTGAATACTTCGTTTTTGTATTGCATTCCTCCAGGGTGAAGGGAGAAAAACGTAACAATAGCGATCAAAACATTAACAAACTCTGACACAGCTCATGCAGTTTAATCATTTAGGTATTACGTTTTGATAGTTTTTGATTAAACCCTACTATTTACAACTCCACTAAGGTCTCATGCTTCCTTCGACCTCCATTTGCTTTTACCCATTTCATGGTTCTCCTTTCGACATAGAGAAATGCTGGAAAAATTACATTTTCTTTAAGAATTCAATGTAACACGAGGTATAGTATTCATTCACATAGCATCTACACAAAAAGAAAGATTGGAGTTGGACTGCATAAATCATCGTCTCCACAGCCCCTGTGCATTCTGGGAGAGGATGTGGCGGTTGTGGGGGACTACAAGGACCTGGGAGTGTACTTAGACAACGGACTGAACCGGAGGATCAACACTAACGCTGTGAACAAGAAGGGGATGAGCAGACACTATTTTCTGAGGAAGCTGAGATCCTTCAACATGTGCAGCAAGATGTTGGAAATCTCTGCACTCTTCTTTGTTGTGGTCTGCTTGGGGGGGGGCAGCATCAGAGCCAGTGACACCAGAACACTAAAAAAACTCATTAGGAACGATATCTAATTTAATATGCCCTTCAATAGTGTTTTATTTGTCAGATAGTCTACATATTTGTTCTCACTCTTCTGTTTTATCTTCTATTTGAGATATAATGTTTATATTAATATATATTTATATTGTATAATTGTTTTTTTTCTACTCTTTCTTATTTCTTATTATATGCAATACTTTGTTTTACATGCTGCTGCAACCAAAACATGTCCCAATTTGGGATCAATAAAGTATATATGTATCTTAAATGTTAACAACAAAGGATGATGTTTTATGGGGATGTCTTTTTCCATATGTGAGAGTAGGACTGAATCATATATAATGTGCCTTGTAAACGACATAAAACAATAGGATTAAAGGAACAGAAAGAAGCAGGTTTAGTATTCAGACTGCTATAGCTCCCTATAGACTCAGAAGTAAAGACAACATGGTGAGTGAGAGCAAAGGCTTCTCCACTGACTGAAGTTTATCTTGATCTTAAATCTGAGGGACAAGGCAACGTGCGCTTTTTAGACATTCGTTATGCTGTATATATTACTCGTACTTTATTATCTTCCACTGTCATGTGTTCTGTTAATCAGCCAGTGGGATCAAATGTCCCCCTCAGTGACAGGCGTCACTCACTGTATCCTTTGGTCTCTCAATGATATTAAATACACTGATGGATTTTCTGTTTAAATTACTTCCCCTCCATGTCTCCTAATTTATTTTTGCTTTTCAATTACACATGTATGAGCTTCACGCCTGACAATATCCACACGTCTTATGATTAAACATCAATGATGGGAATACTATTTGATTGATTGCACAACATTACATTTTTTTTTTTCACTGGCATCAGGAGATACATTGCAATTAGTGTAATGTTATCAAGTGTACACCAGAATGATTTTTCAACATTTCAGTTTTTTCCGTGTGCAGCTGAAAGAATATTATCAGTTTCTTCAAAGTTTTTAGGGATTAAACATATCATAAATATGTTCATTATAAGTGATTATAGATTGGAAGCAGAAAGAAAGAAGCAGGTTTAGTATTCAGACTGCTATAGCTCCCTATAGACTCAGAAGTAAAGACAACATGGTGAGTGAGAGCAAAGGCTTCTCCACTGACTGAAGTTTATCTTGATCTTAAATCTGAGGGACAAGGCAACGTGCGCTTTTAGACATTCGTTATGCTGTATATATTACTCGTACTTTATTATCTTCCACTGTCATGTGTTCTGTTAATCAGCCAGTGGGATCAAATGTCCCCCTCAGTGACAGGCGTCACTCACTGTATCCTTTGGTCTCTCAATGATATTAAATACACTGATGGATTTTCTGTTTAAATTACTTCCCCTCCATGTCTCCTAATTTATTTTTGCTTTTCAATTACACATGTATGAGCTTCACACCTGACAATATCCACACGTCTTATGATTAAACATCAATGATGGGAATACTATTTGATTGATTGCACAACATTACATTTTTTTTTTTTCACTGGCATCAGGAGATACATTGCAATTAGTGTAATGTTATCAAGTGTACACCAGAATGATTTTTCAACATTTCAGTTTTTTCCGTGTGCAGCTGAAAGAATATTATCAGTTTCTTCAAAGTTTTTAGGGATTAAACATATCATAAATATGTTCATTATAAGTGATTATAGATTGGACAACAGTTTTATATGTTGTATCAGGAAATGTAACTTTTGATCAATTGTGATTAATTAGTTAATAAGAAGAGTGTCAAGTTTAGTTACAAAGACTTAAACAGAGTGTGTATTTGCTTTCTTTCCAAGTTAAAAAAGCTTGATATGGCATGTAACTCCTTAGTTGGGGAGCTGTAATGATCTTTTTTACAGCAATAATACGAGATATTGTGACAATTGTGAAATGCAAATTATTCCTTTAATAAAGCAGCACATTGACACCATTCTTAGTGTATTTACAGAAACACAATCATTACAAGCCAAAACATTTTATAGCCTGGATTGCAGTGGATTTTATTAGAAGATCTTTGCTGAAACCTTATATGACATTTGATTGTTATGCCTTTGTCAAATGGCAACTGGAAACAAGACCATTATGAATTGTATTGATGATTAGATGTATAGATTGATGACGCATCTTCTCCTTCTTCTACTGCACAAAGGTGACATCTAAATATCCTGCATAAAGAAGCTACCAGATTGACATCATGTGCAGAGGGTTGTTGCCAATGTGGCCAAGCTGCTACGTTAGCCTCACAGCAGCTGTTTGGCCAGAAAGACACAACAACTGACCATAATATTTAAATAAATACATAATTGATTAAATTGTCACATGCTCTATTTTGTTTTGTTTTATATTGTTTTGCTCAAAATACCAACAGAGCACCCATTGTAGCCATGCCTCATACCCCTCTATTTCAGCCGTGTAACAAAAGTGACATGTTCTTTCTTCAGTGTTTAACGCTAGAACAGTGCCATTATATGTATTATATATATAACAACTTTACTCTAAACTGACTTTGAACATGTATCAGTGGGATAACAACTGTCTAGAATGATAGAAACCATATTTTGCTTGATCGCACAGTTTTTGGAAGAGGGCGGGGTCTATGATCGACACTGCAGCCAGCCAACAGGAGCAATGGAGATGTTTTGGCGTCACTTTTGACAATACCGACAAATAGTCAAATTACTGTGCAGACAATCCAAATGACAATAATGATAAAAATAATGAAAGCTTTAATGAAGACAATGAATCGGGCAGGATGTCAAGCAGCTTCTAGATGTCGCTAAATAGAACCTGAGCCACACAACCTCCTCTCAACATGCAGTCTGAGTGAGGACAGGCGGCACAAACACTCCGTAAGAATAAAGCGACAGGCAGCCTCACATGGCTTTCATTTTCTTTGGGCCAGTGATTTGTCACTGAGTTTATCTGCCTCATTACACATTTATTCCAGCAACGTATAATCACGTTCTCAATTGTCCTCAGAGTCCTGTTCTCGCCTTATCGACTTCTTTGGATGCAACGCAGCTGGAGGAGCAGGGTGACATACTCCAGGTCTAGAAGATTCTGCTCACTGTTTTAGTCTGTATAAAGCAACCAGCAGGCTCAGTGTGACCCCAACTACAGAGGGGTTATTTGTTTCGGGAAAAAACACAATAAATGCTGCTGATCCTGAACTCACATCCACTCGAGAGTACCGTTATGAGCTAAACCACAAGCTAAAATTACACTGTGTGTTCTCCCACACGCTGATCTGCCCGCTTCCAAAAGGTCGGTCAAAAGGGCGCTCTCGACATCACACCAACCTCCCAACAGCTACAACCAAACATTAACACGATACGACTCACTTCCTCTCCCTCCTCCCTCTCCGTTCACCCGGCTCACAGACACTGTTATGAGTGTTACATTTCTCAGTGCATCTCTTTAGAGGAAAGCTGCAGACTGGTAGGTTAACTCATCAATACCACTGACTTGATTTATTTTTCAGATGAAATGTCGATCGCAAATCTTTCTATGTTGTGTATAGTGTTTCATAACGACA